CTTCTTTCACTGACAAGGTCTAGGACCTCTAGTATAGGCGTGGTGGGACACGCCTTTAGTCCCAGCACTTGGGAAGCAGAGGCAGCCGGCTCTCCCTGTGTTCGAGGCCAGCCTAGTCTACAGTGAATTCCAGGTGAGCTAGGACTACATACTGTCAAAAACAGACAGACATACAGATCGAGACACAGACAGATAACTATTTAACAGAGGCAGTGATAGAAGACAGTCTTTTTAATTTTTTTGAGACAGGATTCCACTGTGTAACCCAAGCTGGCCTGGAACCTAAGAGTCTCTTACCTCGGTCTCCTGAGTCCCAGGACCAGGGAAGTATCTCACCATACCCAGCAGAGCAGACATTCCTGTTGGTTCTTGGTTCTCAGCTTTAAATGAAACTGTTAGGATGAGAGTGAGTATATTATTTTCATTGTAATATATTTTAATATATTTTCTAATATAAAAATCCTTTATTTCTTGTATTAAACCTCTCTTGGTCATGATATATTTGTGTCCTTTGTCCTTGTTATCCTTGATGGTCAGTGAGTTATAGTTTTCTAGGAAATTACCTATTTTTAGAAAAAACATTCATAGTTTCAACTTCTGTTGTTCTATGTTCTTTTATGGTTTAAAAATCAATTGTACCTATATTGATGTCCCTTTTTTATTCTTGATATTGTTTACTTGAGACTTCCTTCTTTTTTCATAATCTCTTATCAGAAGTACATCCAGGTTATTATTCTTTTCAAAGAACCAGCTTTTGGAGTTTATTGTGGGTGGCAGGTACTATTCTAAGCTGCAGAGTGAACAAAATAAATAAAAATTCTTGCCTTGTTTGAAAATCTGTTCTAATTCCGGAAGACAATCAATAAAGAAGTCTGACAAAATTGCACAGTTGGTTAGAAGGTGATGATTCTATACAAGTCAATAGATCAAGATAAGAAAGATTTAGGGAACTGGGTGAGGTACAGAAGAGTAGAGAAAATGATATCTGACAAGCAGGCTTGAAGGAAGGGAGGAAATTAACCAAATGCATGCTTAACAGAAGGTTCCAGAAAGAAAGAACAGCCAGTATAAAAATCCTCAGTCAGGAGGAAGCACAAAGAGGACAACCAGCTGGAACAGAGTAAGCAAAATAAGATGAAATAAAAGGCTCCCATGGGATGAGCTGGATCCTTTAGAACCTTTTATTCTGAGTGAAATATCTTGAGGCTTTTGTATAGAGGAGTGGTCTTTTAATAGGAGGATAATCTTGGCAACTGTATTGTAATTAGACTGAAGGAGCCAACAGGAAAAGAATTGACAAGTTATGACAGTAATCTTGAGAAATGATGGCTCAGATCAAAGTAAGAATAGCTGAATTCTGAATAGAAGATTCTGATGATGGAGCCAACAGGATTTGTTTACCATTTGTATGTGAGAGATGAAAGAAAAGGAAGTCAAGGATGCTTAGCTTGAGAAGCTGCAATAATTGAGCAGCTGACAGTGTTGCTCATAAGCCAGGCGTGGTGGCACACGCCTTTGAGCCCAGCACTTGGGAAGCAGAGGCAGGCGGATCTCTGTGAGTTCAAGGCCAGCCTGGTCTACATAGTGAGTTCCAGGACAGCTGGGGCTACAGGAAAACCCTGTCTCAAAAAGACCGGGGGAGGGGGTGGGGAGAGAGAGACAGAGAGACAGAGAGATTCGTGGATTGGGGCAGTTCCAGCTTTTAAGTGGTCTAGGACTTCACCAAAAAGATTTGAGGGGGACAGTTGCAGGAGGTGCCTGCTAAATAATGCAAACAAGCTATTTGATTAGTTAAGGCAGCCTTAAAGTTCCTAGTTAGAGATGAGGGGGCCACTTCTGATTGGTAGAGCCTAAGTTTCATTTCCTAAGCTGTGACTCTTGGTTTGCTTCAGGTGGGAACTCAAGAATTCAGCTGCCTCAGCCTAATGGCCTCCCAGTAAGTCATGTTAACACTGTAAGGGTGCATTAGACACTCTAAACAAAATTTGACATGTATTTATTTTACTACCATTTAATTTTTCATATGTTACATGTTTCATTGTGATTGTTGTTTAACCTGCATATTGCTTAAGAGTATTTTTATACTTCCAGCTGTATTTTAAAATAAATTTTGTCATTGGTTTCCAATTTATGACATTTATGTAGATGTTGTTGTAAAGATGATATTGATCCTTTAGTGTTAGTTGGGGCTTGCTTAGTTTTGCAGTCCTACAACAAAATACCTGATGTAATTACCTTAAGAGAGGCGAGTGTTTAACTTAGCTCACATTTATTTAGTTTTAGAAGTACAAGTCCAATATCAAGCAACTCCACTGGGTTGGCCTCTCCTTTGGGAGGTTTGTCATGATGGGCACATGTGCAGGAAAAAAGGTCACATCTTGGGCCACGTGTAGAAAGAGTTAAAGAAAGTGTCCAAAGTCCTATCATCCCCTTCAATGGCATACCTCCAGCGAGCTCATAGGTCCCACTTTTTTTTTCCTTCAGTGCAGATCAAAGCTAGGGCCTTGTGCATGACAAGTAAATGCTCCACCACTGAGGGACATCCCCAGTCCTTGGTTTTTTGAGATAGGGTTTCATTATGTAGCCTAGGCTGGTCTGGACTCACGATCCTCCTGTCTCGGCTTCCCAAGCTCTGGATTATAAGTGTGCTCTACCATTTCTTTTTTAAAAAAATATTTTATCTATTTAATTATGGGGGGGGGGTTGCATGTGAGTGTAGTGCTGGAGTTACAGGCTGCTGTGAACCGCCCTGACATGGGTGCTGGGAATCAAACTCAGGTCCTCTGGAAGAGCAGTACAGGTCCTTAACCACAGAGGCATATCTCCATCCCTAGACCCACTTTTTATAGGCCTATTACACCTTCCTTTGGAGGGACACCACAATTATACCCAAGCCATAGCACTTGTTTTGTGACATATTATGCTCCCTTAAAAGGACTTAGTTCTGCCAAGTGTGGTGGCACATTCTCTAATCCTTGTATTCAGGAAGATGGGGCAAAAAGATAATGAATTTGAGGCCAGTGTGACCTGTGTAAAGAGATACCATTTCAAAACAAACAAACCAACCCCAAACCCCACCAATATCAGGGTCTGGAGAGATAGCTTAGTGGTTAAGAGTATTTGCTTCTCTTTCAAAGGAACTGGGTTCAGTTCCCAACAATCACATGGCAGCTTACAACTGCCTGCACATATGCAGTGTGCATGCATATACTCAGATACATAACATCACTAAATAAATCTTTAAAAAAAAATCAGGGCTTGCAGGGCTGTCGCTTGGTGGTAGAGCTCTTGCCTCACATGCCTGAGGCCCTAGGGCCAACCTCAGACATATACACAGAGCGAAAAAAAAAAAAAAAGAGCAAAAATATTAATTAATGTCAAAGTCTGGGGAAGGCAGATGAAATAGTGCAGAGAGACATCTTTCTTATATACCGTGAGAACTCAGTTTGCAGACTGAGGGTGTTGTGCTCAGAATGACCTCCCAGGAGGTCAAGATTTGGCCATTTAGAAGGGCTGTATCAGGGGCTGGGCATGAGGTTTGGGGCTCAGACCCAGCAGTGGTAGTGATGCTACATGAGAGATTGTCTATGACTGGGTTCTTATGATCCATTAATATATTGTTGCACATCCCTGGGCATCCTAGGTTCATACTGATGCTGTGTGTGCTCCCCAGTTACCTCTGATAGCACAGAACTTAGCAGAACCTAAAGGACTCGCCATCCTCAGTGAAGGAGACTCCATAAAAAAATTCTGTGGTCTTTGTAACTCTAAGAAGCTATCACGGTGACATAATAGGACCAAGTGGTTGGGTTAGCAAGCACCATGCTCCTCCTCCAGACTGTCCTTGTGGGAAATGCTGGGAGTCAAGGCCCACAGAGTAGACATGGGATGGACTGCTTGGTTGAGATGAGCCATATTTTTCCCCTTCCTGGGAAGGAAGGGTTTTATGCTGCTCTTTTCTATTTGATGCTGTCAAAGGTCCTTTGGTGGCTTTGGTTAGAAATACCCAGTTTAAGGAATATACTGCAAGGTGCTATAGAGTAGGTATGGTTTGTTAAGGCTCTTTATGGTGTCAAGCAAGGCTGGTTCCTTTGGAGGACTGTGAGGGATAGTCTGTCCCAGCCTTCTCTTTTCGGCTTCTTTCTATACTGCATCACATCGTCGTTCCTCTGTCCCTGTCCAAATTTCTTCTTTTCATAAGGATGCCAGCCATATTGGGCTAAGGTCTCATTTTAACTTAATTACCTTAAAGACCTCCTTGCTAAATAGGGCCATATTCTGAGGTATTGAGTATGAGGACTTCAATATATGAATTTTGGGGAGAGACTTGTATTAGTTACTTTTCTCATCACTGTAAGGTAATCATGGCAGCAGAAACTTTCGGGAAGAAGGATTTATTTTGGCTTGTGATTTCAGAAGGGGTATAGTATGTTATGATGGGAAAGCATGGAGGTGGGAGCATGAGGCAGTAGTCACATTGTAACTCTGATCACACGGTGTCTGCAGTCAGGAAGGAGGGAGGAGTGAATACTGGTGTTCACCTGGCTTTCTCTTGTTCCCCTTGATGTTTAGTCTAGCACCCCAGTCCGTGGGATGGTGCTGCCCACATTCAGGGTGAGCCTTCCTCTTTAACTAAACCTTTCTGAAAATACCTTAGAAACACAGCCAGAGGTGATTCTGAATCCAGTCAAGTTGACAAGATTTACCTGATGCCACTACACTCAGCCCCACAACAACAGCCATTTCGCTGTGGTCTTTAACGCCCCCTAGTTGAACAATATTCATATTCTCTGCTATTTTACTCTTAGGCCTAAAAACTATTCACAGATTTTGACTACAGAACTGATTCAACTTTTGAGAAATATGTGAATAATTACTGTACCAGCTGACTTACAATACACTGCATGCTTAGAGCTCCTGTTTCTTTTCTCCTTCCAGGAATAGCTTTCTTCCTTCTAAAGGAAGTTACCTCACTGTTGTTTTGTTTTGTTTTCCTCCAGGGAATGTACCTCCTACCACACAGCCAAAGTGCACTGACTTCCAGAATGCCAACCTCCTCCAAGGCACAAATCTCAGAGTCCAGTTTCTCCTCTTTACCCCTCCAGACCCCAGCTGTGGTCAGCTAGTAAAAGGAAGCAGTGACATCCAAAACTCCAAGTTCAATGCCACTCTGGGAACCAAACTACTTATTCATGGATTCAGGTGGGAGCTAACCAACCAATAGCAAGTTCTCAGCTAAGAGCCAAAGGGACCACAATGCCATAGGAAGTAGAGAGGAGCAGAAAGAGGACTAAATGTTCACATGTTCTATTGCTTATGACTTGCTGTCTATGAAGGTGTCTCATGTACACTGTACACGCATTATGTTATTCATTCTTGTTGGTCACATGCCCGCACCCCCAGTCTTGTATATAGATATACTCATTCACAAGGAATACATATATACCACCCCACACAAGTCACTCCAATTTCCACATCTGAATTAGAGGAGGTTATAAGAATGGTCTCAGTGGTCCATGGGAAAAAACCCAGGCTGTTACCCCCACGTGTGGTTGCATGACATGATTCATCTCAGACAATGAGGTGACAGGCTTTGCACAGTCACTCAGGAATAACAACATGGTGCTTTTGCCCAGGGTTTTATTTCCTCTTTCCCTTCTTCTTCTTCCTCTTCTTCTTCCTCTTCCTCTTCCCTTCTTCTTCTTCTTCTTCTTCTTCTTCTTCTTCTTCTTCTTCTTCTTCTTCTTCTTCTTCTTCACTTTTTCCATGGTTTTATGATTGGAGAACCTTGTTTCCATCATGCCGAGAGGTTGGCATTTCTCAGGAGCTTGGCACTTCTCTTCTGCAGTTTCTGATGCACTACTGACTGATTCAACCACCAGCCTTCCTTCAAACACTTTTTTCTGCAAAGTTCCCTGACAACAAAACAGAGCAAGGTTTCTGTGAGGAGTCAGGGAGAGTACAAAGGATGAGCAGAGTGACTACTGAGTGTAGAGTTGAGGCAGCCAAAGAAGAGGTGGACACAAAGGCTGCCAGGCGACCCCCCACTTCCTCATTTCTGGCTTCTCCCTGCTCCAGGGGTCCAGCTACATTTGTCCTTAGTTGTCTCCCATTATTCTTTTCCAAAGTCATTTCTTTAGCTAGAATCTTACATTCAGCCACTTTTAGAGTGTGCACCTCCCACCCAGGGACAGCGAATGGAACTGGAACTTCATTAGGCTGCTCTGCTCCCAAATTCCCCAGACCACTTTCTGGGGCACGCACACAGTCTGTGTATCTTTCTCCAAAAAACTTCTTTCTACACTGTTATGAAAGCTTTCTGAAGATTTTTCCATCATTATTTTTCTAGAAAGGTCTCATTATATAGTAAGTTCCAGAAGCAAAGGGACTTGTCCTTATCTCTTGGAAATCACCTCACATACCCTTAGGCCAACAGGTACTGAAATGTTTTTTGAATGAACAGACAGGCAGGCATATGAATGAATGAAAACCTCCTCTAGGAAAGAACCTATATTTTAAAATGAGAATTTATAATAAGCATCCTAACTCTAAGGTACAAAGACATCTTTTCTACCCCACAAGTAGCAGAGACAGAGACAATCTTTTGAGCACATACATTGTACAAAGGAGCCTGACTAAAGGCAGGTGTGGCTAGAATCATTCTGTTCTGAATTCATCTGAAACAAGAGACACCCTCAGATCATTTACATGAAGGCTCCACATGTGCCTGTGACTGAAATTATGTCCTCCCCCTCTCTACTCATAGCACTGTGATTGACTGCCCTTAGAACCCCACTTGGTCTTGCCTTCTCTAGTTTAGGGATTAAAGGAGGTTCCTATGGCAGTGAGTTTCAGCTCAGCAGGTAATTTTCTTATTTGGGGTTCATGTCTAGGGCTTTAGGAACAAAGCCTTCTTGGACTGACACATTCATCAGAGCTCTTCTGCGGGCAGCAGATGCTAATGTGATTGCTGTTGACTGGGTTTATGGCTCTACTGGTGTCTACTTCTCAGCTGTAGAAAATGTAGTAAAGCTGAGCCTAGAGATCTCCCGTTTCCTCAGCCAACTCCTGGTAAGTACAGAAAAGCTTAGGGTGGATTTTGGCTCTTTGTTTAGGGAGGAGCGGTCTGAAATTAAAACAAAAAACAAACAAAACTCTTGAAATTTGGGGCAACACTAGAGCCATCCAGGGGCTGGCTGGCATTCAGTTTAAATTTGGATTTGGCATGCTGATGGAAAGGGCACTGGGCCTCCCTGAGTTCCCCTCTCCTCTGTAAAATATGTCATTGCACACCAGAGAGTGAATGTACTCAACCCAGAATTTAGTAGTCCCTCACAAGGAATGGCATGACCATTATACACTGTGAAATGAGGGGACTGTCAGGATGGAGAGCCCAGGAAGAGGACAGGTGATTGATGGATGAGAGGTCTGCCCTTGTTCGAAAGCATGTGTGCTGGGTGTGTCCAGCCTAGGGTATTTATCGTCAGAAGCCTTGGGAAGAACCACTCTGGGCCAAGTGGAACTGACTGTCCTGTCATTTCCCTTCTAGGAGCTGGGTGTGTCGGAATCATCAATCCACATCATTGGTGTTAGTTTGGGAGCTCATGTTGGAGGCATGGTGGGACATTTCTACAAAGGACAGTTGGGACGGATCACAGGTAATAAATGTTCCTTAGATAATAAACGTTCCTTTCTACCTCTCTTCTTAGAATTAGAAATGGAGATTGCTTTGGAGACATTTCCGAGGGAGCAGAAGGGTGTCTTAGCCCACGTTCTTATGATTGAGTCACTATTGTTACTAAAATTTATCTAATATTTGCATAAGATGACACATTGTTATTATTTGATCTCTAATATCAATATGAGAGGCCCTGTATTTATTTTTGAACCTCAGTGTATACATCTATAAAATGGGTTGTAATAAGCCATATTTTTCACTCACTGTGGAAATCACCTTTAGACTGTTAAATATCTACAAAGACCAAGGGCTTTGAGCTTCAGTGGTCACTCTCAGTCGGTAAGGGACAAAGTTATATGGTAAATATCCTAGTTTCTTGGCCCTTCAGTTGGAAAAGTCTGAGTCATGTTCCACAAATTCCTTCAGAGAAGGTCCTACGGCAGGAGGCCTAGGTGTCACTGGTTTTGTCAAATGGATTGTATTGTTAAGCTAACTTTAGAGCCAGTTTCAACCCCTGATCTTCACTGGATGACTCTGTTAGCTGAACTAGAAGGTTTCCTGGGAAAGGTGTATTGTAGGTGCATGGTGGTCCTGGGAGTTGAGAGGAAAAAAATACCCAACAGCAGTCTGTCTTTGTAGGCCTGGACCCTGCTGGACCAGAGTACACCAGAGCCAGCCTGGAGGAGCGTTTGGATGCTGGAGATGCCCTCTTTGTGGAAGCTATCCACACAGACACTGACAGTGAGCTGGGGTGACATGCCTGGGGTGAGGGAGTGCACACAGGCAGGGGGCTAGGAGGCTAGCACTTGGTGGAATGGCTCTGTCAGGGCTTCTGTGATGCAGTGAATAGTTTATCAGGACGATCTTCATGGGCTCTCCCAGCTCTGTTTATGTCTGGAGATAAGTGGTTTTATTTTAAGATACCAGTTGTCAGGAGGATTCTTAATCATGGACCAAAATTATTTGTTTGGTAGCCTCACTGATTCAATGCCAAACCCTGTGCTGCGTGGGAAGGGGCAGGTATTTCTGTCAGGATGACATGTCAGAAAGTCATGCTACTTTTTCAGGCTGTGTATGCCTGGCCCCTGGGGATGGGGGTATTCCACTCACCAGGCACATAGACCAGTCAGACTTCCCTTTTACCTAGAGGACAAGCCCAGTTCTAGGTCAAGAGAAAGAATCTAGTTTTCTAGTAGTGACGTGCACAGGGAAGGTCACCCCAACTCTCAATCCACTGTGACCAAATTGTCCTTCTGACCACCTGGGAAAGAAGGTAGACAAGCATCCTTACTTCTACTGGACATGAAATGTCCCCACAGTGTGTACCAGGTACTGTGCTCAGTGTCATTGAAGCAAGGAGAAATAACATCTGTCCCAGACAAGAGAGGCTTGCAGTTTAAGTGAGAGATTTAAGTGTCTCATTCCCATAAGTCAAAAGTTTTCTTCTAGCATCCAAGGCTCACAAAGGCATGCTTCTGGAAGAAACCCATGCAGTGATACTGTTGAACTCCTGTTTCTGCTTTCACTGTACACATAGAAAACCAAAGCTGACAAGTCTCTGCCTGGCTGTGTTAGGTTAGTTTATCTTGCTCATGAATAAAGTGAGTCTTTTACTTAAGAGTAATCACATTCATGAAAACAAAACGTGCAATAGTAGTTGCCAGAGAATGGGGGAGGGGAGATGGAGAGTTGGAGCTTAATATACATGGTTTCATTTAGGATAATAATGTTTAGGAGACTGTTCAATATAAATGTTGCTGAATTATCTAGTTAAAAATTAAGATAACATGTCTATTTTACTGTGATTATAACCAAGGTTTTCACATATAAGACAAATTTAAGAAACAAATTAGACCCCTTCTACCCCTAAGTTTGATAAATATGTGACTTTTAGATGCCTAGTTACCTGGGACAGGCTCTTGTAAATTGATGCTTCTTCCTGATAGGATTAAAAATAATAATTTCATTTATTCAACCAGTCCTTGTTGAGCTAGGTAGCCAGTACTGTGAATATAGCAATGAACAAAGATATATGGTTATGCCTCTCTTCATCTATTCATTCAATAACTACTTATTAGGCACTCATTGTGAATCAGGAACTGTGCTAGGTGTCAAGGGCCCAGCAGGGGGGAAAAAGATAGGTAAAAACCTGGAGTCTTCATCCAAGGAAACAGACTAAATAATTACACTTTGTGATTGTTCCATGTTGTATAACAAAGAACATGTGAGAGAGGGTAACTTAAGAGGGGTCTCCTTCAATAGGATTGTTGAGGAACATCTGTCCAGTGAGGCTTAGTGGAGGAGAATGAGCCAGTCCTGCGAAAGGCTGAGAGAAGATTCTAGGTGGAGAGGATGGACAAAACGAAGCTTCAATGTGGGCTAGCACTTGGCCTGCTCTGGAAATAGAGCAGAAAATCACATGGTTAGAGTGTGATGGAAAAGGAAGATGTATTTTTTTATTTTATTGGGCAAATATGAGTATCTTATAAACTGATTCTCCTGTGCCTCCTCTCAACATGGTTTACCTTGTGAAGCTGTACAGCCCTTTGAAATGAGGAGGACATTGGGGCTGACTCCCAAAGTCAGAGACCCTGCTGTGGAACTTGGAAGTAAGCTCCTGAAGTGAGAAGTGAATAAGGTTCTGCCTCTTGCAGATTTGGGTATCCGGATTCCTGTTGGACATGTGGACTACTTTGTCAATGGAGGCCAAGACCAGCCTGGCTGCCCCAGGTTCTTTCATGCAGGTCAGCAAGCCAGAGAGACTTGGTGTTTGCCTGCTCCACACATTGGAGTTGACCACGTCTTTGTGCTGATTCAGCTAGTGGTCTTCCTCATGATACCCTGTACTGTGTTCTATAATGTATTAGCACATACCAAACATCTTTAGAGCCCATGAATCTCATAGGGGAGTCCCTGATACTGGAAGCCTGCCTCACACTTATGTCATCCTTCCCACTTGTCTTGGGCCCTGCCATCATCTAACATCGCTCAGGCCAATAACCCCCCTTCTTCCCTGAGAACTGATTTGTGGAATAGCCCACCATAGCTATATCCTCTCCAGAGTGTACTGTGGCTTGTCACCCAATTTACCACATCTGACAGTTCTCTTAAAATTATCTTAAAGCTCACTTTTTAGATATATTCAGTAAATATACATTCCTTTTCTCCTAAATACTTTCTTCTGGAGTGCTCTTTTTAAATATATTTATATATATTTTAAATAATAAATATATTTAATGTATTTAAATGGTAACAGCTAAACAACAAAGATTGTTTAGTTTTCTTATATTCTTATGATTAAAATCAATATGTTGGCATTTCATGTAGAAATTTAAATTCTGTGATTCCTGCTTACTGTGTTTTTTGTATTTTCTTGTTTTACAAAAATCTAAATATTTTAAGGATTCTGGTTTAGTTTAGTTTAGTTTGGTTTTAAGACAGCATTTCACACTGTGGTCCAAGCTGGCCTCGAACACTCTGCTCCTGCCTAAGCCTCCTGAGACCTGGGATTATAGGTATGTGTCACCACACTTAGCTCCATTTTGGATTTTTGAGAAAGGGTCTCCCTGCAGCCTTGGCAGGTCTGGAACTTGCTATATAGATTAGGCTGCCTCAGTCTCACAGAAAACACCTTCTGAGTGCTGGGATTAAAGGCATGTGCCACCATGCCTGGTCTTTTGTTTGTTTGTTTGTTTGTTTGTTTGTTTGTTTCTTTCTTTCTTTCTTTCTTTCTTTCTTTCTTTCTTTCTTTCTTTCTTTCCTTCTTGGGATTCTTTAAACAATTTTAGTATTTTATTTATTATTTTTATTTTATGTATATGAGTGTATTGCCTTCCTATATGTAAGTGCACTGGTGTCATGCAATGCCCATGGAGGTCAGAAGAGGGTGCTGGATCACCTGGAACTGGAGTTAAGGATGGTTCACAGCTGCCATGTGGGTGCTGGGAATTGAACCTGGGTCCTCCGCAAGAGCAATCAGTGCTCTTAACCACTGAGCCATCTCTCCAGCCCCTGGCCCATTTTAAGAATTCTTTTGACAATTTTGTTGAATAACCATTAATCTACTTTGCCAAATATATGTTATCAAAAACATGCTTTGTATAAAACTCTAATAAAATTTCAAAACTTTTGATTAGGTGGAGTAGTTTGGTCTCAATGACTTTGGGAAATTTTGGTGGCATATTGATTGGCCATGTTTATTACTTCACAATACAATTTGAGAAGGGGCAGCTTGTCTCTACCTCAGTTCCCAACTGATAGGAAAGGAACTTGGTAGTCAGGAGTATTCCTACCACAAAGGAAAGGAAAGTGAATGCAGCTTATCTTTCACTATCAGACCAAGTTCAAGGGGAGTCAAAAGACCCCAAGATCCTAGAGTTGTAGCTTACTGCTGCATCTTATATGGTTGTACCCATCTTATGTGGGTCCTGCGTGTGCGTGTGTGTGTGTGTGTGTGTGTGTGTGTGTGTGTGTGTGGTGCATGCACATGAGTAGCTTCACACTCTTAAATAGTAAAGAATAGCAACAAAATAAAGTTTTGGGTAAATTGGGATACTTGGCAAGTTCTCTGGATCAGTTATTTGGTCAGGACATTTACAACACGTTAGAGTCAAAGACTGACCATGAATGTCTGCAAACTGCAACTCCATAGACTGTTTCCTTGTTGGGCTGGGAAAAATGTTTGTGTGGGAGATGATGCAGTAAAGAAGTGCAGACAGACATGGCCAGCAGTGCTGCAGCATCTCCAGTGCTCTGTATGCTCCTGTGTCACCAAAGAGTCCGCCTGTCAGTAAGAGTGAGTCTAAATCAAGCAACTTTCTTGGCGGATTAAGTTTGTGTATCTCAAGAAAATTAAAAAGAAAAGGGAGATGAGGTAACCATGTTTGCTAATATTTCTAAAATGTGATTCAGGGGACAGCCTGTCTATTTATATCCTTCTGGGACATAAAATTCAGTAAAGTTACAGTAAGTAGTGTGGAGGGAGTTTCCATCTGTCTGCACTGAAACCTTGCTGTGGTTTTTGCCCCTGTTTAGGTTACAGTTATCTGATCTGTGATCACATGAGGGCTGTGCATCTCTACATCAGTGCCCTGGAGAACTCCTGCCCGTTGATGGCTTTTCCTTGTGCCAGCTACAAGGCCTTCCTTGATGGAAACTGTCTGGATTGCTTTAATCCTTTCCTGCTTTCCTGTCCAAGGATTGGTAAAACCTCCCCCCTCTGGTTTTCTTTGATAACTGGGGGAAAGCTCAAGCCCTGCTCATTTGTCACCGCTTCAGAGCACATCTGATCTCCTATAGCAAGAGGTCCCTATCCATCTGGGGAAAAAAATAACCCATGAGGTGCTCAGCCGACTCCCATCTGGGAGATGGCTGTTAATGTGGGGTGTCTCACCCATCCCTCTATGCTGCTTCCTGATGCCAGGCTCACTCTGGCCATACCCCTCTCCCACACAGCCTCTCTCCTGGAAGTGCAGCCTCAGGCCATTCTCCAGAAATACTATTAGTCCAAAACCTCTCCTCACCCTCAGACCTGATGCTTTCAAGCAAGGACATTGATTCTCCAGCTTCCCATATCCTCTAATCAGTGCATGGTGGGGACCACCCCCTCCACCAGAGCTGCACACATGCCCTCCTTAGCAGTAGGAGGTTGTGATGGTCAAATACCATCTGAGATAGAGGTGACCAATGGCTGGGAAGTTACCCTGTGTTTCTACATGATCCAGGCCAGGCTGAGGAATGGACTCCTGGAAAGCCGAGGGATCTGGCCTCTACTCACCCCATTACAACTCATAGCCTGGAGTTTCTCAGGGTGAAAACTCTAGGGGGCAAAGCCCCTCTTGGGTAGTGGAAATGTGTCTTCCCTGCTTCTGCAATCTCATACTTCCTACCATCCCTGGCTGCCACTCAGAACACAACAACCTTTGTTATTCACACTCTGACATGGGTGACAAAATGGGAAGGGAAGATAGCTTCCCACAATACAAGCCAGCATATTTCCCCTCTTGTGGACATATGTCTGAACTGGTACCAGAGATGATGGGCCAGGTCTTTAATTGCCATTTCCCACTGTCTCCCTAGCTTCTCTCTGCCTGCTTTCTGTCATGAAGAACCTCAGAGATGCTTCCAAGTATATGTTATACAAGTTTCTTCACCCTGCTGGTCTGTGCCCTAACTATACTCTCATCCTGAACACGCTGGCCTCAGCTGCCGTCTACTAGTTTTCAAGCCAAACATTCACTGTCTCTACCAATAGGATACCTGGCCACTGCAACAATCGTGTAAATTAGTTCAAGCGTTAAACACAAAATTTTAAGTTTCTTGCAATTATCTACCAAGAATGAGCCAAATGGGGACCAGCAAGATGGCTTTGTTATAACCTGAGTCCATTCCCAGGACCCACATGATAGAAGGAGAGAACTGAAGGCTACAAGTTTTCTGACCTCCACATGTGCTCTGTGGCACGAGTGCCCCCATCTAATCCACACAAATAACTAAATGTTTAAAAAGAATGAGCAAGTTGAAGAATGCACTTCCTGTTTACTTTCGTGCTTATACCCCACTGAACTTTGTTTGGACCTTCAGATTCATCCCAGAGCATGGCCCACAGTTTGTGTGCAGTGTGTGTGTAGAATGCAGGGTGCATGATGAGTCCACGCCTGACTGGGGACTGTGGAGCCTGGAAACAGCCTACTCGGGCTTTACCATCTTTGTTTCTTTATTTCCAGGACTGGAGGAAAAAGGTGGTATCAAGCTAGAGCCGCTTCCCAAGGGAGTGAGAGTCTATCTCCTGACCACAGCCAGGGCCCCTTACTGCGGTGAGTTGGGAAAGAAATGAACAGCTGTGCTGGTGGGAGTGCTGGAGATGTCCAGGGCTCCAGTACAAGATGCATGCCGTCCAGCCTGGGAACGTAGACAGCAGATGAACAACTAGGGCAGAGACGTTCTTTACAGTCAGGGACTCTCGGGGGCATTTCTCTTACACACTTACTCTCCTTTCTCTTCCAATTGAAACTTGCCCTCTAGGCTGTTCTCCCTGGAGTGCTCTGGCTGACACTCTCCTTCATCCTTCTTTCCCCCTCCCTGGTGCCCACTCTATGTACCTCCTGCCCTGGCAGAACCTCCTGGGCCAGCGTCCTGGAGGAATGTATGACTTCTATTGCCTTCCCCTCACAGACACATTCCAACTGTTCGCTGCTGCTCATTGCACTTCTTTGAAGCTAAGATGCTGGTGAAAGAAGCAAAGAGTCAGTCTCGGAATCCATGAACCACATTAGCAACGAGGCCACTGTTCTGCCCCATGCTATCTGTATCTTCACCAGGGTTGCTCTACTTCCTGGTTTATGTTCATTGTCTTGGGGCCCTCCTGCCTGCTTAATGGTGTGCACAGGACACAAATATGCTAGTTTGGATACTACATTATATGGCTACCCTAATGTGAGCTGATTTTCTCATTAGCTTGTTTTGGCTTCCTGGAGAGGACTTTGTGTGATGTGATTTGGAGCTCAGAGCTCAGATTCACATGGACTAGGTTTGAACCTCAGCTTCTCCAGTTTCCAGCTGAGTCATCAGGAGCAAGTTACTTCACCTTTTCTGAAGTTCAATATCTTTATGTGGAAAATGGGAACAGTAACAGTACCCACATGCAAGAATCAATGCTGTGTAGAGGAAGTTACCAGCATGGTGACCAGAACCCAGTGACTGGAACTCAGTGACTAGTCATTCCCTCCTCTTAGCCAGGGAATTTGGGAGACTACATGGGAATGTTTCTAGCTTCATAGCTACCTGTCAGGAACAAAGTACCTTGCAATCAACTGTGGGCTTTCTACAAAAAGGGAAGTTCTGAGAGGCAAAGTGGTAGGTCTGAGACACACAGCTGAGAGAAGAAAGGATTCAACTCTAGGTCTTCTGACCCTTTCCATGCTAGCTCCTGCCTCACTTTCACTTCTTTCTTCCTTCTTGTCCCTCTCTGGCAACAGCATCCCTTGGAAGTCAGCATGGAGGATGTGGTATCTAATGGTGGAGGCTACACTGCAGGGGCAGGAATCCTGGCTTCTAATTCCAGTCCTAGCATGTTGGCAGCAGTCTGAACTGGCTCCTCTGTGTCTGTATGGCTAAGAATACCCTGGACAGAAAAGCTTGGGAGACTCACGAGGTTAAAATCACTTTAAGGTCCCTGCTGAGAGAGTCACAGAGCCATAGGTTTTTGTTTCATGTTGTGAGACCACCATCTTATAACCCCAGAAACAGGAACAGGGTCTAGTCTGTTCAAAGACCACAAAAGAGTACCAAAACAAAACCCCCAAAAAACAAAAAACCCAAGCCAAATACTTTCTGCCTGCAAGCTCTAAGTCTTCCATTCAAAGGATAGAAGCAGAGCCTCCCCTCCTTGAGCCAAGTATGTCCCATCTACCTGGGAGGGCTCAGGTGGGGCCAAGAGCTAGCTCTGCTCTGCAGATACTCCTAGGCCATTGTTGGGAAACCCTGCTGTTAGGGTTGTAGTTTCTCCATGTCCGGATAGCCCTGAGGGGCTCGGCACCAAATGGAAAAACTCCCCTTTCCAGCAGGGGGCCTCCTGCTCTCTTCCTGGCTCACCTTGAAGTGCCGCCAAACACAGATGCCGTATCTGAAACATGACCTCTGGCATAGAAACTACCAGGTTTTTTCTATAGGTTTTTTCTATATGATAATCAGGCATTGTCTGATAGTCTGGAAAATAGGAGCCCACTGCCACATGTAAATAAAGCATACTATGAGCACCTATCAACTGAGGCTTTTGCTACTGCCTCCACACTATAAATTCTCTAGTTTTCCCACTAATAAACGGAGCTGTATCACTGCCTGGAGCTGTGTCATTGCTGTTTCACTGCGCCTGGGACCAGCCTGTGATCAGTTTCGCTGGAAGAGCTGTCTTCTGTCAGCTCCCACTGGCTGTTCTGACCCCGTTTGCTGCTTCTGCTCTCCCTGCCCTCGTGGGCTGGTGGCCAACGACCCGCGAGCACAGGGAGAGCCTCCCGCAGCTGGCCCGAGCCTCCCGCAGCTGGCACAGAGCCCACCTGCAGGCCATCATTGCACTGGGCTCCCATGCGCAGCATTTTGGCCTGGTCCGGTTTCAGCAGTGCTCTTGAGGACAGTGGCTACCCTTCTTTTCTGCCAGGCATGTGCCAGCAAGGATAGATCTACCAAATAATAATTTTTAAATGCAATATTAATTTTTCCTAGTTTTTTTACACAGTGCCACCTCTCTATTACCTCACTGAACCCTCACTGTGGCCCTATAAGGTGACCCATAAGGTGACTGAGGGACAAAGAGGTTCAGTGACTTAGACAAGTTGGCATAACTTGTCAGTAGCAGGGTCTGGCCTTAGATCACCCACTTGAGGCTCCATGGGCTATTACTTGAGTCATCTTCCTGTGCAGATTTGATTTCACTACCAGTTCCCATCTACCCAGCATCAGTTCTGACTCTCCTGGAGTTTTCAGGGCAATGTAGAAAAAAGAGAAGCAGATCTGTAGGAAAATTTCTTGATCAATGATACCTGCTAGCATAGGAAGATGTGATATCTCCCACTTGTTAAGCTCAACCTAGGGTATTACATTCCTAAATTACATGCTTAAGCTTTTGTAAGTCAGCTATTTTTTTTTTCTCCATCATAAATATCCACTTCAGTTCAGACCTTGCCCATCCCCATAACAATCCACATCCCACAGTAAACAACTGACAGAAGACTTGTGATACTGTTTTTCTCTTTGAAGAGGCAAGATAGACAACTCTTTCATCTGATGAGTTCTTGGTATCTTGGCACTTGTCAGTGAATCCAGTGAGCTCAGTTGGACCCAGCACTCCTCTAACATAGAACTCGGTATATCTACATCCACTGGATGTTCCCTCAATGGTCAGATGAAAAAAGTATAGGTAGGGGAGGGGCCTAAGGATTACATCTTCATCCCCTACCTATACATCCCCATCACAAAAGGAGCTTGGGAACAGACTGAAGACCAAAGTTACTGCAAAATGCTACCAGGTACACCTACCCCTTAATAAAGACAGAGTGTGTTAGGAAAATTGAAATCCTTCTTGATCCCCCCTTGCTCATCCTTTTTTATTTGAGTGAGGATCTCTCATCAAATCTGATATTCATTGATTAGCTAGGCTGACTGACCAACATGCTCTGGGGAATCTGCCTATCTCCAGCCCCTGTCCCTAGCGCTGGGGTTATCAACCTACATGCCCAGATTTTTACTCAAGTGTTAGGGATCCAAAGTCAGGTTGTGCTTGAGCAGCAAGTGCTTTACCCATTCAGCTATCTCCAGGGATTAAGTTTAAATATGAATTTTGGAGGGGCCTCAGATATTCAAACAATAGCAATATATGATAGATTCTTTTTTATGTTTTCAAGATTACATTATTGGACTGGGTGTGGTGGTGCATGACTTTAATCCCAACCCTCAGGAGGCAGAGGCAGGAGGATCTCTGTGAGAAGGAGGCCAGCCTGGGTCATATTGTGAGTTCCAGGCTGACTGGGACTAGGGAGACCCTGACTGAAAAAAAAAGAGATTACATTATTGGGGCAGTGAGATGCCTCAGCAGCTAAAGGCATCTGTTACCAAGCCTGATGACCTGAGTTCAATCCTTGAAACCCAAATGGTGTAAGGAGAGAACTGACTCCTGCAAGTTCTCTTGTGACCTCCACACAAATGCCAGGACACAAAATAAAATTTGTATTTATTTATTTTTAATGTTGTGCAGTGTGTGTGGAAAGGAGAGGGTGTCAGATACCCTGGAACTGCAGTTACAGACAGTCGTTAGCTGCCATGTGGGTACTGGGTTTCAGACCTGGGTTTTCTGCAACAGCAGTCAGTGCTTTTAACTACTGAGCCATTTTGCCCGTCCAATTTTTTAAAACTACATTTTAAAAATATTTATTATTTGTTATTTTTATTTTATGTGTATGAGTGTATTGCCTGCATATATGTAAGTGCACCCATGTTGTACAATGCCCTCAGAGGTCAGAAAAGAGCATTGGATCCCCTGGAACTGGAGTTATGGACAGTCGTTAGCCACCATGTAGGTACTGGGAATGGAACCCATGTCTTCTACAAGAGCAGCAAGTGCTCTCAACTGCTGAGCCATCTCTCTAGCCTCTAAAAAAAAAAAATATATATAACACCTTTATTTCAACATTTAGACCTGTGTTGATAAAGTTACTGCATAAAAGGTTACATCACTATAAGGTTACCACACAGGAAGGTGTGAAGCACTCTAACATTACAAGTAATAATAAAAACACACTTTCTGAAGGTTTCCTAGGCTAGACACTATCCTAAGGACGTTGTATGCATTCATCAACTCAGTGCTCATTCTAGCCTGTGGGATAGCAGTTTATGCCCAGTTTAGCTTGAGGATACTGAGGGTCTGAGATGACAGGTAACCTGTGTGGCCTACAGAGGCTGTGAGGTAGAGCCAAGTGGGAGGTTCCCAACTGCCCTACTGCTCTGCTGTGCTCACTCCTGGCACCTGTGCCATTGGCCTAGCCTTCTCTGCGCTTTGGTTTCCTAGTGCATCCCAGTCTTGTGGAGTTTTACTTGCAAGAGACAAGAAAAAAGGACACCAGCATCGAGATCACCTTTCTTAGCAGCAATATTACTTCTACGGTCAAGATCATCATGTACGTGAGTGTTCCACATGGCTGGTTCCCTCTTTAGGTGTTCCTCCTCCGTTTATGACTGTTCACACTTAGACATCCCAGGTCAAGCACAGTATGATTACTAAAGGCTGAGCCTAGTCTACCAGGCGTGAGGGCAGTGCCCACTGTAGACCCACCCACAGATACATGCTGGGGAGGGCTCAGGTTTCAGACCAGTACCACTCTGAGAACAGTGTATCCAGATGATAGCAAGCAGGGCTAGCAGGCAGCACCAGTAGATGATCAACACATAGGAATCAGTGCTCAAAATCCAGGCAAAGAGTTGTGTTATGTCAGGGGTGTCAGCAGGAGGGACAGCCTCAGTCTCCATCCCCACAGGGCTGACCAGAGCCTGGGGAACTACTCCTAGGAATAGAAAATGGGACTAGATCAGTTGCCTGGATGGACCCAAGGCAGAGGGCCAGTTAAAGTGTGAGATAAGGGCCAGAAGGGGGTGGTTCCAGCGCCTGAAACTGAGGCTGATCTTTTCCTTTCCTTTTGGAACAGACTTGGCTTGGTAGCTGGGTGTTGTGTGTTGAGGTGGGGGCAGAGGGAGTGTTGGTGGGACCAGGATTGGAGTGAGAGGGTAAAGAACTGCAACTCTAGATGACTACAAACCTGGTAGGAAATAGGAAATCAGGAACAATGGTCTATTTCTTTAAAAAGCAGCTGGGGGAGAGGGCAGTGTGGGGAGGGTCTCAGTGGTTGAGAATGCATACTGTTCTTGCAAAGGGCCTTAGTTCAGTTCCTAGCACCCACATCAGGCAGCTCACAACTGCCTTTATTGGACACCTCTAGCCTCTAAGGGCACCTGAATACACTTGCACGCACCGCCCCCCAGACACATACATAAAATTAAAAATAATAAAAACGAATTTTAAAAAAGCAATTGGTTAAGTTACTACAAACTAGCAGCAAACAATCTAAGGAGACAAGGTCACTGACTCTATTGGGGTCCAGTCAGGAAAACAGAGTCCATGACAAATAGTCCCAAAGAGAGAGGAGAGAATAAGCAAACCATGTGTATATAATTTAAACTATTTGTCTGTAACTATAATTAGCAAACTAATTTTAACTGCACCGAGAAAGCTGAGACAGCAATGGGGAGAGGAGGCAGCGGAGGCAATGCACAGATTAACAGGAGCAGAGCCACTACCACAGTGGGGCCAGCATGACAGAGCCAGGGGCACTGGTAAAGCCCAGGCCTGGCAGGAGCTTGATTACAGGGGAGGTTACAGGACAGGAGCTGGAACCCCACAGGAAGTGTAACCTCTCAACAAGTCCTGTCCCTGGGTCAGGCCTTGCCAGAATCTGCTGGCAAAGTTGCTGAGAAATGGGGTTTGCTGGGGAGTGAACAGAGGGCAAACAAAGAAATGCCTAGTACAGACACTTCAATATACTCACTGGTCCACAGTGACAAATGCTATGAAAGCATGCTAGACAGTGCCATGCTAGACAGTGCTAGAGTAGGTCTGCGGAGGTGACAAGGAGGGAGGGAAGGATTTGAAGGAGTGAGCCAGGCCCTGGGTTAGTGAGATCATGATACACAGATATGCCTGGCAGAGTAGGGTCTAGGGGGAAAGGAGGCTGAAGAGGCAAGTCAGGCCTGGACGAATAAGTTAGGGATCACGATTTCTGTCTTGAGACCAGGTTGGCTACAGATGTGGGAACATTTCTCAGGATGCCCTACTGGAACAGTGCTGTGAGGTGAGACCACCAAGGAGAGCACAGTTCTGAGCACCCAGCTAGTCAGTGTTGCCAATACTGTCCCCCTTCCCGGTTGGTCACACCGCCGCATGAATACACAGGTGCCCACGGAGGCTTGTGGATTGTGGCTGGACCTGTGAGCTGAGTACTTTCTGTTCTATCAGTTAAATGTTGAGTTGTTTCTAGAATGAGTTAGCTCTCCAGCCCATTGGTGAATCAGTGAACACTGGCAGGAGTCAGGGCACTGATACACATTATCCGGAGAGGGTCAAGAAACCCTGCTCCCTCCCTCTCCCCCATTCCACCACCTATCCCCAACCACTCTAGATGCTCTGGGCCTAGGCTACAGCTGAGGCTCCGAAGCCACTTTCAGTGGGTCTCCCTCCAGAAGAAGCCACGTGACTCTTGAAGAGTACATAGAATATATTAGCTTTAACCTTCATTTCTTTTTTTTTTTTAAATTCAGAAATTAGAGAAAGGTGCTAGAGAGAAGTGTGTTCTTCCCCTTACTTTCAATTCTTTATACAACCCCAAGATTTCCTTTTAATTAGAGAAGTTATCTGAGCCAAGCCCTGAAGCTGCTAATATAAAATATCTTTCATATTCCTTATATTTTATAAGGTTCTCAATCTAAGCCATTTCTTTTTTAAAGATCTTGTTTACTTTTATTTTATGTGTATGAGTGTATATTGCCTGCATGTGTGTAAGTGCACCCATGCCATGCAATGCCTATGGAGGTCAGAAGAGGATGTCAGATCCCCTGGAACTGGAGTTAGGGACAGTCGTTAGTCGCCATTTGGGTGTTGGGAAATGAACCCAGGCCCTCTGAAAGAGCAGCCAGTTGCTCTTAACCACTGAGCCATTTCTCCAGCCCCCTCTGACATGTTTTAAAATGCTTCTGAGCAGGGACAGCTTTCAGAGAGCTATATAGGATATTGTTAAAAAAGGAGAAAACAAATTATATGCCTAATTCTGAGTGAAAAAATACAACAATAAGGCATTATCACTCTGAAAAGCCAGAAAGGGAGAGGAAACTACTCAGGGAGAAAGGATACAGTCCACTGACTCCTCCAGGACCCAGGAGACCAGTTCCTTCCACATGTTCCGTGCAGCCCTGATGAACTTTTCTTGGCTTCCCAACCCACATCCTCAAGGCTTGGCTGGGACGGCTGACTCAAGGCAGGCTCCACACTGTCTCACCATTTCTTGCCTTTGTCTGGGCCCTGTAGACGTTAAAAAAAAGATTTATTTGTTTGTTTGTTTCTTATATGTATGTGTGTATGGTTGTGTGAGTTTATATGTATCACAAGCATGCAGGTGCCCATAAAAACCATTGGGGCTCAGAAACCCTGGAGCTAGAGTCATAGGCAGCTGTGAGCCACTTGATATGGGTGTTGGGAACTGAACCCCATTCCTTTGCAAGAATAGTAAGTACTCTTAACCACTGAGCTATCTCTCCAGCCACTTGCAGACCTTTTCAAAGCACCCCAGTAAGCTGTTCACTTAGAGTCCCACCCTCTAAGTGTTTCAGCCACAGTATGTCTGAATCTTGTATAATAATGGGAAACCCAAGTACAAGGCCAAGAGGATGAGTTAAGAGATCCAGATTCTGTTCCTACTGTGCCTTCTGTGCCGAAGGGAATGTATACCAAACCCTGTGGTTCAAGCTCATGGTGGCATGTGAAGAAGCTGGGTTTGTTCTCAGGACTGTGACTCACAGCTACTTTGCCAGGGCAGTTGGCTTTCCCAAACAGGCAAAACCTGAGTTTTTGCTGGGTTTCCTAGCTCTGTCTATCTTCAAGACCTGTGTTATTACAGTTGCTTTTCTACCCACATGATCCTGTCTAGAATAATGCTGAGTAGTCCTTACACTGAAGTCTCTGAGCAGGAAGACCATAAAGAGGGTTCCTATTTCTATATCATTCAGTCTAATCATGAGGCTCTCCTCCACAGGGGAACCTGAGTGTGAGGCAATTTTCTGGATATGAAATTCTAATAGCTACTACTATTTTTCTGCAGTGTTCACTTATTTACTCTTAAACATTAAATATTTCCTGGGTCATGTTCAAAATTGTTAGTCTTATGGGCAGAAGGGTCAGCAAAGGTGACACAAAAGACTGTCGCCATCTTCAAGGAGGGCACCAAGTCCTTTGCCAGCAGAGCCCAGTTGGAGTAAAGGGGAAGTGAGGTGCAAGGCCACAGTGACTCATCCCCTTTTCCTTTCAGACCTAAACAACAGCTTCAGGGGAGGGCAGTCATTGCTCACCCCTACCCTCAGTGCCAGATAAACCAAGTGAAGTTCAAGTTCCAAGTTTCTAGCCGGGTTTGGAGAAAAGACAAGACTACCATTGTGGGAAAGTTCTGCACTGCCCCTCTGCCCGTCAATGACAGGTAATTCACTGTACCTACCCCACCCAGACACCCCCACATACACACACCACCACCACTAAGCACCAGTCCTGGACCTTAGCAGTGTGGCCTGATGAAGTTCAATCTCATTACAGTGATTACTATCTTAGAGCAGAGACTGACAAAGACCCTGGATTTTCCTGAATCTTCTGTAGGGCTACCTTGAGTTGGGGGTTTTAGGAGGGAATCAGAGAGGCTGAACTTTAATTCCCTGTTCTGCACTTGTATATAAGAAATTCTTACATCTGCTCTATACATTTGGTTTTAGGCAAAATTTCACTGGAACAGTTTATCATGGTGGATATCCCCCTCCTAAGCCTCTACTTCAAGTCTGCCATTGGCAACATTCATGGGTGTGGATCTGGAGTCCACTCTCCTCTGCCTTGAGCAGGCATTTCAATGATTAGCCTTACCATCTTGGGCAATCAGAGGATGGGAATCAGCTGTACTGTAGACGAGTGTAGACTCCTTTCACTAGGCATGTTGGGACCACAGAATCCACACAACTTCTGGTTCTTCCTCTTGATAACCAAGAACATGACCTCTGTTGCTCTTTACTTACAGCAAAAATACTGTCTGCTTACCTGAGCCAGTGAATCTTCAAGCAAATGTGCCTGTTTTACAGGACCTGAAAATAGCCTGTGTATAACCTAAGCCTGGGCAGGATGTATTGCCTAGATTTTTTAAGGGAAGTATGGTAAGGGATATGCTTGTGTGTAACTTACACTGTTCCATTACTACTAAGGATGAAGGTCAAAGTCTTGGTCATTTTCCCCATAAGTAGTTACTGTGGAGGGGAGAGATAACTCATTGTACAAAACTTGATCTCGTCATCAACCTACAAAGCTTTCCCTAGATACCATTTCAACTTCCCTATTTCTATGAAACTGTAATTGCTTTATATCCTTAGTTATATACACTTAGGATTCCATGGAGACATTTACAGAGAAAATGTTTTAATAAACTATCATCGAATATATAAATGATTTCATTGTTTTGTTGGAATGGAATTTCATCACATAGAAATCGTTATTGACAGGGCTTTCAAAATGGCTCAGCAGGAAAAGGAACTTGCCACAAAGCCTGACAATCTGAGTTTGGTTCCCTGAATCCACATGGTGTGAGGAGAGAATCAACTCCTACAGGATGTTCTCTGAACTCTATATACACACCGTGACATGTGTGTTGATGCACGAAATAAATGTTAAAACGTGTTTTAAAAAGTGATTTACAGAAGATCACCGTTGCCGTTAGCTGTAATTCATCTTGGAAGAAAATTTCCATTTTTGTAATGGATGATGTATTACAGAGGCTTACAATCTGTGAAGCTCCTAGGAAAAACTGACTGTTGCTATAGTGTATTCACACAATACTTAGCCACAGATGGAGGAAAATAGTTGGACATCTATATCACCTCTTCCAAGGCTCAGGGAATATCACTGAAGAGAGGGCAGAAAGAATGTAAGAGTTGTAAGGGGTTGAGTGTTGCCTATTTCCTCCCAATTAAAAAAATTCTCTCTTGGAGGGAGGAGAGAGACTCATGAGACTTAGGAAAAAAATTTACAAGTCTTGAGATGATTGGCAAGGCCCCTCCTCGAGGTTATATAATCAGGAAAGTCAGAAAGGTGGAAGAGACTCCAGTGTCTCGAGCTACCCACAAGTCACGCAGAGTGCTCCAGGGATTCAGTTTTCATGAATTGTTACCCAGGGTGGAGTTAGCTTTAGTGATGCAGTTGCCTTTGAGTTGTGCCTTTACATTGTTCCTGTTCCCATTAAGTAACCCCCCATTCATAATCCTGTAAGGAACCCCAATGAACCCATTGGCAAGTCAAGTTAGACTTTGATGGAAGCATTACTTTGGTCTGATGCTCCTTACCTATCTGGGATGAGTAGTGTTTGTGTGTCTCTCCCCACGAAAAGTCACAAGACACCAGCACATCCCCATGTGACTTCTTTGTGGCAAAGTCCTTAACATATAAACCTTTTGAGGAAAGTTATCTAAACCATAATAGTATGGAAAAAATACTTTTTAAAGCAAATTTTATATATTATTTTTATTTTATGTGTATGAGTGTATTGCCTGCATGTATGTAAATGCACCCATGTTGTGCAATGCCTGTGGAGGCCAGAAGAGGGAGCTGAATTCCCCTGAAGTTAGGGATGGTTGTTAGCCACCATGTGGGTGCTGAAAATCAAACCCTGGTCCTCTGCAAGAGCAGCTAGTGCTCTTAACCATTGAGCCATCTCTCCAGCCCCAAGGAATAATTACTATTACGTGACAACATATGTTAGATGTTGTTACTAGGTTGATTTTTGTTATTATGAAAACATACCTCTAAACATACTTTTCATGCTTTTGACAAGGCAGTCTCTAACAGTCCTAGATTTAGCAGAAAACTAATTCTGGCATTAATCAGACTGATCTTGTTAGTGGGAACTTCTCAAGTGGAGCAAGCAATTAAAAAACACTTATGGCCAGTTGAAGCCTTCTAGAAAGGCTTGGATCCTTTATCCATAGAAACTGAAGAAACATAAACACTTATTGTTTAAGCTGTATTTTTTAGTATCTACTGTATAACATAAAAAGAAATACAGATTTGATACCTGAGGATATTTATTTTCAAAAAAGTGACTTAAAGTCTATGGGACTTGAGATAACAGATATTAAATTAAAATATCAAATGAAAAGACGTGGCTGGAGCAAGAGAGGGCAGGGAGATGGCAGCACCCTCCATTTCTTACCTTTGCCTCCACAAGGTGGATCAGAGAACTTTTGGGGGGAAGACAGGTAGATGTTCTTCAGGTCAGAACTTCCCCAACTTTCATCTTTGTAAATAACCTTGTATCAGCCACAGCAAAAATCAGATGGTGACCTCAAATTGGGTAATTTAAGAATTTAATAAGAAGACTATTTTAGCTGGGCATGTAGTGCACACCTGTAGTCTAAGCACTTGGGAGATGAAGGCAGAAAGATCAGGAGCTTGAGCTCAACCTCAGACATGGGAAGGAGCTAACCTGAGTTACATGACTGTCTCAAAAATACAGAAGAAAACAAAAAGATTATTTACAATAATCCTTTGTGAATAAATCACAGAGTTGTGCAGTTTCTAGGGGCTAACTGAGTGGGAACTGCTGCTACCCTAGGTCTGATGACTCAAAGGGAGAGAGAGAACTGCAGACCTGCAGTCGGGGATACACACTCTCCCGCCTCACTCTTCTTTCCTCTTCCTACTCACGGCACTGTGCCGAAGCCAGAGGATCAGAAGCACATGAATATGGCCCCATTGGGGTACAGTAGCAAATACAACATTCATCCTCCTCATTACTTTCCCTCTGAGGTGCTTCCCTTTTTAAAATTAGCTTTTTTTTTTTTTTTTTTTTTTTTTTTTTAACTTAAATAGATGTGCCTTAAAGAAAGCTGCTGACTGCTGGTTGGTCTGTGACAAAGGCAGGGAGAATGATGCAAGCCCCAGGCCGCAGTCCACAGTTACTCCTGGGCCTGGTCAGGCAGTGCACAGGAGTCACAGCTTTGGCCTTTCTGGGTTGTGGCACAGCAAGCCCAGGCGACGCTCCTGCCCACAGAAGAATGACGCATCGGAAGAACCCCTGTGTTCTCCAATCAACAAGCTTGCATTTAATTTTTTCAAAACCCTAAACCACTTTCTCTTGCTCTCTCAGAACTCCACCCAGCTTCCTAGTAAATTTCCCTGGAGGTGGCCAAGCCTGCCCTGCCTCACCAAGCTGCACTTCCGGAGGCTGTGAATGTTGGTCATCCTGGGAGACACTGCTTAGCACATTCTTCTTCCTTCGGTTTCCCTACTATTTGTTGCTTTTCTTCCAAGTCTGGATAGATTCTATTACGCGTCTGTGATCAAAATTATGTCCCTTGGTGCTGCTGCTAATCCAGTTAAGCTGGCCTGGGATCTGCTTTTCACTGTCCTACTGTTTTGCTTTGCGGGACAGCCTGTATTTCTTCAGTAACGCCTTCTTGTTTTAAAACATCGTTAAACCACCCACATGTTATTGTGCACCCCATCAGAAACGTTAGACCATTGCCTTAAACGGGAAACTGGCTTCCCTTATAAACTAATCCTAGAAACGTATACAAAGAGCATAGCAGTGTTTGAAATTCCAACTAGATACTGTGTACTGCTGAAAGCTTTCAGTTCTAGGCCTGCTTTTTTCCTAATCAAAAATTAATGCTGGGGCTGGAGAGATGGCTCAGCAGTTAAAAGCACTGACTGCTCTTGCAGAGGACCTGGGTTTGATTCCCAGCACCCACATGGCAGTTAACAACTGTCCATAATTCCAGTTCCAGGGGATCTGACACCATCTTCTGGCCTCCATGGGTATCACACTACATGGGTGCCCTTACATACATGCAGACAATGCAGTCATACACATAAAATAAAAATAATAAAATATTTTTAAAAATTAATGTCAGCAACTTATGGGAGAAAATTTCAAAACCCAGTCAGAGGGCTGGCAAGATGGCTCAGAAGGCAAAGGCAATTGCCACCAAGCCTGATGACCTGAGTTCAATCCCAAGACCCACATGGTGGAAGGAAAGAACAGACTCCTCTAAGTTTTCCTCTGACCTTCACATATGTGCTGGGGCAATTGTGAGCACGCGCGCGCGCACACACACACACACACACACACACACACGCAAATAAATAAATGTTTTTAAAAAGCTTAGCAACAATTAATGTAATCAGTAGATTGAAAGAAAGAGATGCAAAGCTTTCTCACTATGAGACTGCATGTCATGTAGGGACAGGTCTACATTCTTCCTAAAAACACCCTGTCCAGGTACACGGCCTTCACTTTGGGAAGCCTGGCTTTGAGCAGCTGGGATATCTATGGGGCTAGCACAAAAGGAAGGCCAGCAGGGCTGGAGAGATTGCTCAGTGGTTAAGAGCACTGACTGCTCTAGCAGATGACCTGGGTTAGGTTCCCAGCACCCACATGGGGGCTAACAACTGTCTGGTGGTAACCCCTCCGGGAGATCCGCAGACTTCTGGTTTTTGTGTGCGGTGCACTTACATACATACAGGCAAAACACTTCATCTTTTAAAAAGGAACAGGACTTGGATCCCCTCCACATCCACTTTGCTCACAGCACTCCACTGAGGTCTTTATGAGCAGAGATGACTGTGACCTAATTCAAGTTGAAAATCAGATTCACCACCAAATCAACACACCTGCTGAAAGATGAAAGCAATCTGACCCTAGAACAGCCATACAATAGAATTAGCTAACACTGTACAGCACTTTACCAGGCTCTAGACACCATTTGAGTGTGTCACATGTTCTACAGTACCCTATCCTCTCAGTAACCAGGCACATACTGAGGAGTTTTCAGGACTGTAGGAGCTAGGACTCAAACACCAGCTACCTGGTCCTAGAGCAAGGGATTAACTAGAACTGTGATCAGGCTCCAGGTTTGAGACACTTCAAAACTACAGCCAGGGAAATCCTCTCAAAGGCCCACAAAGACTGGCTACAGAACTTTTGGAGTCTGGGTGAAATGAAAATATAGGCTTATTGTTTTAAAAAAAAGTTACTGGGCTGGAGAGATGGCTCAGCAGTTAAGAACACTGACAGCTCTTGCAGAGGACCTGGGTTCGATTCCCAGCACCCACACAGCGACTACGAACCACCCTTAACTCCAGTTCTAGGGGAATCTGAAGCCCTCTTCTGACCTCCGTGGCATTGCACGACACAGGTGCAGTCACATACATGCAGGCAATACACTCATACACATAAAATAAAAATAACAAAATATTTTAAAAAGTTACTAAGAAATTCAAGATACTGGTTGGGGATAGCATGGTCTTCTAATCTAATACTTGTTAGAAAATGAACTGTCCCAGGAAGCAGTTTCTCTTCTATGACTTCATTTATTAATAGAACTTACTAGTGAAGCCATGTTAGTACTCTATTTTCTTAGCAGGGTTTTTTCCCCATTAATTTTCACTGC